GTTATCAGATATTTTTAATATTCTATAATCAGCAAAAGACCAAGACTTGTTATAATAATTCATAGAGATAGATGCTAATGCTAATTGGGAAAGGGTATTCAGTAAGGGCTAAGTTTAAAATGTGTAGTTCATTCGGGAATATTTCCTATTATTACAATCTTTGCTTTCCTACTTTATCTTCAGGAACTGGTTTAATGGTTTGGTAATCAGAAACTCTTGTAAGTGGCGATCATTAAAATAAGGGCTAAAATGTAAGGAAGTGGTAAAGCTGGAAGTGCAAATCAGTGTCCTCTACAAGTATCTATTGTTGGAATCATGTCTATGGATAAGATATTTCTGGGCTCGGGAACCAAGGGTTGAGGCATTGAGAGAATCAATGAAAAAGTGAAAGAGTAAACTTTGTAAAATATAGAAGAATCATCACATAAATTGGAGCAGAAGCAGGAGAAAATGGTGCACTGGAAGCTTAGAGCTGTGGAATGGAAACTTCAAAGACAAAGGAGATGGCCAAGGGTATCTAATATGGGTGAGAGGTCAAAAAGTTGTGGCTGACAAGTCATCCATGTTAATACTAAACACTGAACATAAGAAACAGGCTGAATGGGTAGAACAGATGCCCTGGGAGGTGGAAGTCACATTTCAACTAGAAATCCTGTGAAAAGTCTGAGAAATCCATTGATATTGGTCTATCACATTGTAAAGGACCTGGAGCCTTACACCGTGCTGGTGTGACTTACTTTTCCTTATTCTTTAGGCTTTCACAAGGATACTTTATGCAGATACTAGACAAGGATGTGATAAGTAACAAGTCTGAAAGGATCACTAGGAAGCCAAAACAAGGTTTAAATTATAGATAAGCTTTGGATGATGGCATCCTTCAACATTGCCTGGAAAAGTATGGAGAATCAATATATCAAGTCAGCATTCCCCGGAACAAATGTGCATTAGATGATCTCCCCACATAACATTAATTGTACAGTTGGGCCAAGCATGGCATGAGCTTATAATTTTTTAGTTGTTTTACTAAATTTTCTTCAGACCTTTTTTTATCCTTAGACTTTCCTGAATATTGTTTGGCATGTCTTCTTCTTTAAGTTGCCAATTAAAATAAAATAATAATTTACATTTCTGAGTTCTAAAATTTGTCTAGCCATGCATTGAAGTTGACTAGCCTTCTTGGCTGGTTCTTTTTAACCTGGAGATTACTTATTACAATAAAGGAAATGATTCAAGCCCTTAATAAGGCCTTAAAAATGACATCTCTATCTATAGGTTTTTATCAAGCACCTCAAACTGATTATGGAAATCTATTGACATGATATGAAATTCTAGCATTTTCATAAAAATTTTCAGCAGGCCTCATTCTTGGTCACTCAAAATATTTAAAGCATTTCAAGGGATCAAATACATTGGGGTATCTGGAAGTTTATTTTGCCAGCATGGAAAGTGAAAAATAGCAATTTTCTAGTTTGTATGGTTTCACTGGATGGGGTAAAAAAGTAAGGGACAGAAGGAATCATAATAACTCATATAATCCACTCCTGCTCTTATCCTAGAGTCTCTCAAAAGAAAAATAAAAGTGAGTGTGTGTGTGTGTGTGTGTGTGTGTGTGTGTGTGTGTGTCAGGGGGTGTGTTGAATTACAGTCTATGAGCTCTTATAGAAGAATCATTTCATGAGCTTCAGATATTTTTGAATCCCATAAAATCAAAAAGTTAAGTATTTATCTAAAGTATACCAGAAAGATCAACATTTATAAGGTTTTAAAAATCAAAGTATTCAAGCAATTTTTTTAGTGATACATTTCTGATCTTCAAATGCTTACAATTAATATATTTCCTTTTTTATCTCAGACCAATAATTATTGGTTTTATAGACTCAATTGAAGTCAGGCCTGAAGGAAAAACAACAACAACAAATGGCATTTAGTCACAACCAGTTCTAATTTAGAATAATTCTTAGGTACAGACAAAGTTTAGAAGATGACACTGGAATGAGAAAAGGTGATGATAAACTAGGACAAGGTCAAATTTTAGTTGAGAATAACAGCTTGAGTTATGATGCTTAATGCAGTGGATCGACTATGGCCTGTACTCTTTCTCTTTATTGGCAAAAGTTTCCTGGAAAAAGTCTTAGGTCATCTGTTTGAACAATGGCCAAAATGCCTATTTAAACAAAAAAAAAAAAAAAAAAAAGGAGAAGAAGAAGAAGTGAAATTCTTGGTACAGGTATAATATACCAGTTGCCAATGGAAACATATAAAATATACTTCAAAGTTACACACTGAATACTAAATTTAGAATGCAGGGTTGCATATCCTGGGAACCACTCTCTACACCTGGTGGGTCACTTACTCCCATAATGCCCTTCTTCCCCACCCTTGATGAAAATTTAGGCATTCTGTTTAACCACACAGTTAGAATGCCCCTAATCTTAACTTTGACCTTCATCCTGTTTTACTTCCTTATTGAAGGCTTTGACTACACAATTATTGAACTATAAACATATAGTCAAATAACATAAAAGAAAAACTAATTTAAATATGTGTAATATAAAAACTCTTAAGAAAGAATAAACTGGACCATGAAAAGAAATGCCATTTGTATACTATTTATTTGAAATAACAGGCTTAGCCACTAGATGTCACCCTTTAAAAAAGCAAGAGTTTACTTCACAGTTTGTTACATCAACAGTAGTTACGTTCCCCTATTGGGTAGAAGTTGGCACCATTGGAATCAGTCACTCCGACATGATATAAAAAGAATCTTTAACAACAAGCAAACAAACAACACCAACTGGTGTTTCCTGTAAAGGGGGCTTCATGAGTCAAAGCTGATTGGAGTCCTGTCAGTCTCCAAAGCCAGATGGTTAAAATACAACAACAGATAATAACATGTAATTTTTCAAAAAAGTTAAAAGCACGGCTCTGGTACAAATATGAAATGAAGATCCATAAAGATCTCACTCAATTCAATTGATGAGGAACCAGGAAGATGGTAAAAGCTGTACAAGAGAGAATTCAAGAAATGGGGACTTGCATGGCCTGTTTCTCAAAGGCCTGCTGAAATGCACTTGGTAGTGGATACTAAACTGTTCAATGTCCTCAAGGTCCCAAACCATAACCTCTGAGGTTATGTTTCCTCCTTGACAGAAATATCTCTATGAGTCAAAAGTCTCCCAGTTAACGTACAACTCTACAGTGAAGCAACACAGCATTCAGCCTACGTGGATGGCCCACATATGATGCTTCTGTCACTGTGCTTAGTACTCTATGTGCACCATCCATCCTATCTTATTCTCAGAATCATTGCCTTTGAGGTAGATGCTGCCATTATCTGTATTTCAAGGCTAGAACACTGAGAGATCAAGGAACATTCTTCAGGGTATAGACCAGCAAGTGATCAAGTAGTAATGTGATGCTATATAGTCTTTCTCCCCGGACCAAGGATTTAACACATACGATGTCCTGGAAGATGTTGGGATTCTGCAGGATGAAGCACACATGAGCTCATGACAACCCCTTCACCCTTTCCTGTGCTTCATCCATGAAGGACAAATAATGACAAAAGAAGTCTCAAGTGCAATAAACATAGGCTGTGAGATCAGAGCTTAATGGCTAATGCTTACATTCTCAACAATTTGTGTAGATTACTTACATATCCCCCTACCACTCCACTGGCCTGTCTTTGGGTTGATATAATATATCAGATCCTCTATTACAATATAAACAAGTGAAGAGTGGGAAGTGGTCAGTAGGGAGTCTTCACACAAAAGCGAGCAATATCTTATGTACTGTCTACATGGAAAACAATTACACTAGGTAAAACACTGTCAGCGGGGTTGGCTAAAAATGAAAAAGAGAGCTTTTAAAATATGCGTGGTATTCCTATAACATAATAATGCTTTATATTCTTTTCAGAGATCTAGGGACACGGGGAGAAATGTAATGTACTGACAGTAGATTTGTGGAAGACGTCTGCCCAACCCAATACCCGTCTAAAGAAAATGGTCTATTTAATTTTAAAACTTTAAAATCTTGAAGAAATTTTAGACATGATTAAATGAACTGTAGAAAATCATCTTAAATTTCTTGGATTTATATGCGTAGAATCTCAGAAATGGGAGGTGCTCCAAGTTTTATTACTAATTCAGCTTCAATTCTTGTAAAGATTACACCACTCAGCCAGTGGCTGAGAAGATTCAGAAAACTAATCAAACATTATTATATTACCTATTATGAGTCTAGACAGTCTCCTCATCACACATACTCTGATATAACAACTATGAAAGGAGCTTTTTCAGAATATTACTTCTGTATCTCCATACCAGATAAAAACAAACTTACAAGTTCCCCAGTCAAATAAAAATGTATAAATTTGTTAATATATCACATTTGCATTTATACTTGCTCTAAAAAATGAAAAAGTTATATAAAGTAGAAAAGTATTGCTTTTTATGCAATCACTCTGTGTTGTTCAGTGTTCAGCTTCTTCAGTTTTCATGGATTATAAAATCTTTGAGGACAGAAGATAATCTTCACAAGACCATCATATAGTGTTTCTAGCTTTAAAGGTAGATGTAATTTTAATAATAACATACCACATTTAAGGCTCTATTAGGCACAGCTCTGGTTGCCTTTGATTTATTCATCAATGTGAGGAATCTGAAATTTTCTGAAGTCTAATTTTTGAACAAAAATAAGTCGTCTCTTTACATTAAACCATCTGCTCTACATGATTACAGTGACTCATTTTTAGCATTGAAGCTTTCCTTTTTGTGATTAAATTTCTCGTTCAACCAATTGAACTCTTTGAAAGGCATTTCTTTTTTTTTTGAAAGGCATTTCTTTCTGAGAAAGTACATCATTGTTAATAGAGTAGTGATATAATTATAATCAATCCAGATCCTTATTGGCTAGCACCTTAATGAACTCATGTAAATCTAGAATTAATGCACATTAATTTATTCATCACCAAAGAAGAATCTGAAGATGGTACTCACGCAGGTTTAATTCTATAGGCGTGCTTTTCATGGACAAAGGCACCAGCAAGACCTCCTGCTCCTGAGTTTAAATACTGAATTGAAAATAAATTAAGTTGTCTGAGCATATGACAAAAATAAACAATGAAATCATTTGACTTTTTTTTGTCATGAAACCAACTTTTGACCAGTCCCAAATATGTGATTATGTGAGCTTTTATAATAAAACAGAATTTTGCATTACCTTTTTCAACAAAAAACAAAAACAAAAACAAATAAGCATAGCATTATTAACTGAGACTAAATACCCAAATACATGCTACTTTTTTGGCCCGATTTTGCCCCAACTAATAGATAACAGTTCCAATGAAGTCTATCTAACTTTAAAGCTTATTCATAAAAAATATTTAAATAATAGTAAAGTATCATATTTTAAAAACACCTAAGTTAAAATAAAATTGCTTTCATTTTCATGATCTCTGTCAATTAAATTGTCTTCAAATGACAATATCAAGTTGATTCCATAAGAATTATCTTTACAAAGAAGAAATTTCACTATATAGCAACAAAATACTAAGAACCTAATCAATTTGAATTAAGTTCTAAGGGTAGAACTTTGTCCCCAAACTTCCCAACTTTTCTATAGCAGCCAGGTAATTCAAGAAATAAATACTCTATTGTAAATGGAAATATCTGACTTTAAGTAATTATTATACTATTCTATCATATGACTTTATAATTAACTAAAATCAGAAAAAGCAGTAATGAAAGATATGGAGGAAAGTAACTCCAATAGTTAAAACTGGTCACTGATCCAGTTTTTCACTTGAATCAATGTCAATGTGTGATAAAGGATGTAAATATATTAAGTAATTTGTACCTTGTAGGAGCACCAGCAGGCAAAATCAACTCCCCAGTCATGTAAGTGGAGTTCAACATTTCCAACTGCATGTGCTAGATCAAAGCCAACGAAACAACCCTGGGGAAGAACATGAGAACAAGTTTTGAATTTGCTTAATGATTAGAAATAGTAAGTATAAATATCTCTGAGAAAATCTCTGACAAACTGCTGAACTATAAATATAGTTTATTTACCCTTTGGTGCAGTGGTTCACAATGTGTGAACCACAAAACACTGGGCAGTCCCAGGATCCTTTCAGGTTGAATTAATTTTCATACTATGAAGACATTCTTTGCCTTCTTCACTGTGTTGACATTTGCACTGATAATGCAAAAGCAGTTATGGGAAAACTGCTGGCATGTTAGTGCAATCCAAGGCAGTGGCACCAAATTACACCAGCAGTCGTTGCAGGTCAAAACCATTTAGTTACAGGGGGAAATAACAAGACAATTTTACTTAAGAATCTCCTTGAGAAAGCTGTAAAAATGCTAAATTTGTTTTAAATCTCAATGCTTGAATTCTCATATTTTTAAAGTTTAATGTGGGAAGCATGCAAAAGACATCTGACCATATTCTTAAGTGAGATGGTTGCCTCAAAATAATGCACTCATGAAATTAAGTTGCAAGCTGAACTAACCACTTTTACTGCATAGAGAGCCATTTTTGCATCAAAGAAGAACTGAAAGAGGACAGTTAACTCATACTTTGGGTGTTTGACATTCTTTTGAAAATAAATGAAGTGAGTCTGTCAATTCAAGGAAAACAATCCACAATATTTGTTGCCTATGAAAAAAGAAGTTTCCAAGAGCAATTAGGATTTTGCAAATTTGCACCCGCTTTTATGAGTATGGCCATTTCCCAACATTTAGAGATATTTCTGATACATTTAGTAATAATATATAATTTTTTAAATAGTATATAATGAAATACATAGATATATTTGGAAAATGTGTACTAATATTTTTCAAACAACCAATGTTTGATGTTATATATCAAGCACAGATTAAAGATCTATTCAAAGTGCAAAACCAAAAAAAAAAAAAAAAACAAAGTGCAAAACTAAACAATGGATTTTAATAGAACAAAGTATAGAAAGCTCAGTAATTTGGTTTCACATTGCATACCACAATTTGTCAATTATTCATACTGTATCAAACAATATTCACAATAAACTGAAAAGCCAATAAACTACTCCTGTGTTTTCTATCTTCATGAGGAGTGATTTTCTTCATATGCTTCATGAAGAAAAAAAAAAACAAGAGATTGAATACAAAAGCAGATATGAAAAACCAGCTGTCTTCTATTAAGCCAAACAATGCAGAGATTTGCCAAACATACAACATTCTTTTTGTTTTAGAAAATATAGCTTTGTTTCCTTAACAGCATATGATTTATGTTAATATGTAATGTGTTTGTTGATGCTCTAAATAAGTGAACGAATGAATAAGTAAATAAACATCTTTAATTACAAGTATAGTAAATATAAACACAGGATCAAAGCCTCTATGAGGTCCTCAATGATTTTTTAGAGTAAAAGATTTTCCTTGGCAAAAATTTTGAGAACCCTTGCTTTTGTGTATCCTACTAACCTGCTGGAGTTAATAGTAGTTTTTAGTTTTGCACTAAACTCCACATCATGCCCATATTTAATGTAATTAACTCAAGTAAATACATGCTATGATAAATTGCCTTAATGATTCCCATTCTTTGTTTCTCCTTGTACCCATTTCCATTGCCATGTAATTTTTCCATTCTTCCCACTGTGAATATGGTACAATTCTCTGTCCCTGGGATTAGCCAGGTGACTTATTTTGACGAAAGGAGTGTTAGCACATGTAATACAAGTAGAGACTCTAAAGGACTCGAGTGATTAGACTAGGCCTGCTCTCTTGCCCTCTGCCATCTCTGTGACAAGGACCTGCTTAGCCAATCTGCTGGCTCCGATGAAGGATGGAGGAAATGTGGATCAAAGGCATCCTCACCTGAGCTCAGCTTGGATCAGCTACTCTCTCCATCTCTCTTTAGTTGGCCAATGATGCATGAGAGAGTTCAGTTGAGACTAGCAGGATCTCTACAACTAAGTATTGCCTGGATCAGCTGCCACAAAGATGATCAAATAAAAATGATGCTATTTATGACCCTACACTGTGTTCTCCCTATACATTGACTTGAGATCCTAATAGCCTCTTGACTGTCTGACTCTATTCTCTTTTATTTACTTGTTCATACGGTCCAAGTGTTTTGCATGTCTGCCTAGTAGAATTCACTGTTTTTGAAACTAATCCTTTGTTTCCATCAAGTTCCCACAAGGACAACCTGAAGGAATAAATGATATTATCCAAATTACATCCAAGTTGTAACTTTTCACTTTAAAGGTTTATCATCAAAACCTTTACTTTTCTGTAAATCAAAATGTTACAAATTTTACTTCAAGAATATAATGATTCATTCCATATTAAGACAATTTTGCATATAAACATGAATTAAAAAAAAAATCCCTGATCATTAAATAGGGGTGATAGTTGACTCTGCAAAAATGCTTTACCTGTGAGCTCTTCTATCTTTAGTTTTCTAAGTGCATAAATTATAATTACAGTTTTAAAACTTTAGATTTCTTGCAACATTGAAGAAACACATCTATTGATTGAAATTTTTGAAGTAAATAATTGCAGAGGGACCTATTTTAGATTGTTCTAACACCTCTTAAGAATAATTAACCTCTGGGCAGCCCAGGTGGCTCAGCAGTTTAGTGAGGCCTTCAGCCCAGGGCCTGATCCTGGAGACCCGGGATCGAGTCCCATATCAGGCTCCCTGCGTGGAGCCTGCTTCTTCCTCTGCCTGTGTCTCTGCCTCTCTCTCTTTCTGTGTCTCTCAAGAATAAATAAGTAAAATCTTAAAAAAAAAAAGAACAACTAACCTCAAATTGCTATTATAGGTACTTTCCCTAAACAAAGGGATGCAAACTATGACCAGTTTTTAATAAAGTTGTACTTAAACAAAACTAGTCTCATTTGCTTAAATATTGTCTATGACAACAGCTGCAAGCAAAATTGAGTAGTTTCAGCAGAGACTGTATGGGTCACAAAATCAAAAATAACTATCTTGCCCATTACAGAAAAGATTTGCTGGCCCCAAACTTATAGCATTAGTCTCATAAAGAAAACTCAATATATTAAAGAGTCAATTAGAAACCTTACCCATTATAATGTGGCCAGAACTAGTATCTCATAGAAGAAAAGTTCTTACCAGTATTATATACCTGATTCTTATTTTTGGGAGGAGAGGGAAGTTGGATTCATATTTTGTCTCTCACAGGAAAAAAGAAGAGCAATACATGTCATAAAAATATGACAGATGTTCCATGCTAACAGAAGTTTTAAGAGTGATAAAAAAGAAAGACAATTAATCTCTATCAAGATTTAGAGATTATCCAATCCCGGGTTTGCAGACTAGTGTTTAGGTTCAGTACACACACACACACACACACACACTCACAAATTTGTTTGTATTTTAAGATATTTTAATATTGAAATTCAATTTGGAAAACATATAAAGGTTCTGATTTTGAAATCCTGCCTTGAGGTCTTGCCAACATTTCTAATAAAGGCAATGATTTATTTTTTGCAAAAAAATATTTACAACTCAATCTTTCTCTGTTTTTAAAACTCAACTTAGAAATCTTAAGGACTAGAAAAGTCACCATTTTTATTTTATTATCAATTATTTATAAAGAATGGCACAATGAAGAAACCATGAAACTTCAACCTATCATATCCCATTATTAAAAGTCCTGTAGTCACATCTGTGTTACCACATAAATCACTTGAGGCTCTTACAATATGTTTTTATGTATGTACAATTATTTCCCCATGGGTGACAGAAACATAAATTATTAAAATGTAACTGCTTTGAGGAAAGGACCAGAAGTTATAAACTTGAATGAGATCTCCACAAAGTGATTTTACAAAAGTTTCACTAGATGGCAGCATCTTAAAAATAAAGGAAAAACTAACACCTCCTAAACCTCTCTACAGTCATCCAGTTAATATTTTCATTATTTTACCTCTTAAGAGTAAGTAGAAAAACAATATGAATAGGCAAAAACAGAAACTCCACATCTGCGATCTACTTTATATATTTTTAAAATAAAAATCAAATATTTTTCAACAGATTTTTATTAACAATATCAGTAAGAGCTCATAAGCATATTGACACAACCACATACAAGCACAGCAATGGGCCACCACCTAGTCACCTTGCTTTGTAGTCAATCCCCAGACCACTGCGCTAATCTTCTAACCACCCTGAATACTTACTTCCAGCCTGCTTTCTTCCAATGAGATTCTTAAATCATACTTTTTAATATAAGACTCCCTGCTTCCATTTAAAGAACCCCTTTAGCTTCAGAATGTACCTCACTTTCCTTGGTACAACTTTTAAAGACCTTTATGACCTGGTCCTTGGCAGTTTTCATGTCTCAGGTGCCCCTTACCTACCTTCCTTTATCTGCACAAACGTTTCTCTGTCTCAGGTATTCTTTCCCTCCTCATTTTGCATGGGTAGCTCAGGTTTTGATACTAAGGTAACTACCATGAAATATTCTTTTGTCAAACTGTCTTTTCTATTTCATCAATAGCTCTATTTGCATAGATCTCTTGTGGCAATTTTCCAATCTTACTGTCTTCTGCTTTTACATAATATGAACTTAAATAGTTGTTAAATTAAGAAGTAAATGAATAAAAGCATACAATTATCAATAAATATTCTCTAAATTAATATTAAATTTTAAAAGAATATTATTTGAGGGCCTTTGTTCCTATTGCAGTTTTATGGCATAAGCAATTTGTTCAGACTTGGCATCTTTTAAAATGAAGTTTCTTAGACAATTAATAGTAGTTAAAAATATGTTCAAAATCCCTCTCAATAAAATAAGGAATGTCATGTGTTTTTCCCTCACCATCTTCACTTGCACAATACTAACATTTTTTAAACTGGTGGAATAATATGCAAAGGGTCTGTTTTGAGATTTCCAGGTGAAAGGGTAGCTAGCTTACTGTCTCTCAGGTTTGATTCATTAT